GCCAGGCACCAAGTGCGGCAGAGCACAGCAGGTCTACCCAGCGTAGCGGCGCCAGACGCGAAGTGCGGCACAGGCGAACAGGTCCCCGCGCCGCCCCCCGCGCCGCGCCGCGCCGCGCCGCGCCGCGCCCCGCCGCGCCCCGCCGCCCTCCGCCACCATGTACCTGCACCCGGAGGCTGCCAGCGCAGGTGAGCCCCGGGTCGCCGGGGAGGGGGGGACAGGGACACGCAGGACGCGGGGACACGCACCAGGGGTTACCGGCCGTTCGTCGCCCGCCCCCGGGGATACGCCGTGGCCGCTGCCTGCTTCCCCCCGCGCCTCCCCGGGAGTTACGGTAGTTTGGGGAGAAAGTCACCTCCGCCGCTGTCACCGCGCTGCGGAGCCGCCGGAGCCACCGACACCCCCCGCCCGGCGACACCCCAACCCCGGCRGGCAGCGTCCTGCTCTCCAGCCCCCGAAAAAAAAACACCGTGCAAGCCCAAAATCCTGCTAGGTGCTGGTACCTGGACGAGCATCCAGCACATCGCCCCTCTCCTCACCCTGCGGGGCTGCTGGTGCCCCGGTCCCCCCCAGGGACACCCCCAGCCTCGGGGGCAGCACCCCGCTCCCCAGACCCCCAGCAAACCCCCAGACTCCCGGGGGAGCCCCAATCCCAGCATCCAGAGCAGCATCCAGCGGTCAGTTCATCCCTGCTCCTCACTGCCCTCCCTCTCCGTCCTTCTGGGGGGTCCCCCAGCCCCGTCCTGCTGCACCTCCGGAATGACACTGGGACACGCGAGGGTGGGCGGCTGGGGAAGGGGCTTCCTCCGGCGCGGATTTGCTGATCTCATGCTCGGAAGGCAGCAGTCGTTCCCGCACCAGGGAATCTGGGACGCTGGCGGGGACGTTTTGGGGGTGCCCGAGCCGGTGCGGAGACACAGGGATGCTGCCGGAGCGATGCGGATCAGCGGGGCCTGGCAGCTGTACCCGGCCGTGTCCCGGGGCCCTGGGAAAGGGCAGAAGGACGGAGTGTCCTGCGGTGGCGTGGGGACGTGCCGGCGGGGACGCGGGGACAGCGGGCGCCGCCGGGGAGAGCTGCAGGTGCCAGGCCTGCGGGATCCGGCAGGTTGGGGAGCGCCGGGCACCGCCACGCGCTGTCACCCACGGCAGGTGACAGCGTCACCGCTGCCCGGGACTTGGCAGCTCCAGCCGAGCTGCCTTCGAGGGGAACTTTCCGCCCGCCCGCAGGCTGAGCGCTCCCGCGGGGAGCGGCACCATCCCGTGCCACCGCGACCCCGCAGGGATGCCCGGAGCGCGGCACGGCGCCGCTTGGCCCAAGGTCACCCGGCGGGTGGGTGGCAGAGGTGGGACGCCAGCCTGTCCCCGCCGGTAGCAGCGTGGAAGGACTGCCCTTCCCTCCCGCTGCCCGAGATTCGCTCCTGCATTATTGCCCCTCCAAACTTTGCACCTGCCCCCGATTTGTCCCCCTTGTCTCTGCCAGATGTCCCCGTAGGCAGCCGGTGAGCCACCAACGGCTGCTTCTGCCATCGCCAGCGCTGCTTGGCGGGCTGGATGCTCCCAACGCAGAGGTCGAGCCGCCCGATTTTGGGGTACAGACCTCCTCTCCCCGCTTCCCAAACGCCGTGCTCCCCGGCTGCTGGGGCCCCGTCACATGGGAGTTTTCCCACGTCACCGGCGGCGTCTGTGCCGTGGCGCCTGGAGCCGTGGGGTGCTRGGGGTGCACACACCTGTGCCAGCACCCTGGAGCTGTCTGGTCCCCTGGATGATCCCCCTTTCCCGGATTTTCCGGCCGCGGTGCTGAGGGGGTGCTAGCTCTGTTCCCCATCCCGGTGGAGGTTGAGGGGGTGCTGGCAGCTMACACCCCCGCGGGATTTGGGAAGAGCCAGCCACGCCACACGCCGGGGTGAAGCAATGCCTGTTGTCCCCCCAAATCCCTGCCCGAGGAGGCATCAGCCTCGTCCTCCTCGTCCCCTGCTCCGTGTCACCGTGCGGCGACAGTGGCTGAGGGCCCCAGCGCCGGCTGCTTTCCATGGGGGGAGAAGATGCCGTGTGGGGAAATTCGGGAAACTTTGCTGCCCAGGAAAAGGCAGATCGGGAGGGGAGGAGGGGTAACGTGGAACCTGGAGGTTATGCTGGGGGTGTCTGGTTCTGGGGTCGGAGACGCCCGARGGAGTCTGGTCTTGTCTGGCAAGGGGTGTTGGGAATTGGGATCAAGCTCAGGCGCTTCCCGAAGCGGCTCCCGCCAGCTGGAGGTTTTTTGGGGGAGCCGCAGGGGGCTGTGCTGCTGGGTAACCATCAGACGATGTGTCAGGAGAGCCGCGTCCGAGCGCGAAGCAGAGCTTTGGGCTGCCGACAAAGGTGCCCTCTGTGCCACAGGGACAACGTCCCCCTTGCTTTGGGAACATCGGACAGCTCCCTTCCTCCCGCCAGACCCCTCCCCATCCCYGTCCCCGCTGCTGGCACCAGCTATCCCCTTTGGGGCAACGCTCGCATCCCCACAGCTCCATCTTAGCGCAGAGAGCAGGTGCCGGGGGGCCCTGCTCCCCCCCGTCCCCATCTTTCCCGGCTGGAAGCGTTCCGAGCAGAGCCGTGCGGCGGCTGGAGGTGGTGAATCAATAACCAGGCAGCAGCTGCCTGTTTTCCCCCCGCACCGCCTCGGAGCGGGCGATGGAGCGCCCTGGTGCTGGCGCGGCCGTGGGAGCAGCTCCCCGGGGCTCGGGGAGAAAAGCCGGGCTCCCGAAGGAGCCGCAACAGCCCGAGGAGCGAGGCGGGGGCCGGCGGAGGGGCTGCGAGCGGGATGAGGAGCGTGACGGGTGGGAAGGCAGACAAAGAGCGCAGGGATGACAGCGCACGGGCCTCGCCGGGAGCCAGGCACCTGCTGCAGCCTCGCGTCCCGTGCGGCACCGACACGGAGCGGGAGCTCCAGACGCCCCCGGGACCCCAATCCTGCGCGGGTCTGGGGTCCCCATCCCTGCCAGCCCCTCTGTTCCAGCCCGAAGGATGTTCCGGCCGGCGTCTCGGAGCATCTCCCGCCGCCTCACCCCGTCCCTTTGTCCCTCRGGGCGGCTCCATCCCATTTTCTATGGCGGTGGGGGCTTCACGCGGATGCTGAGCCCCCCGCAAGGTGGGCGTTCCTCGCTCCCAGCAGTCGCTACCAATTCCAACCCTTTCAGCCTCCCCACACCCTCACCGATGTGTCCCAGGACCCCCTCGAGCACGGCTGGGGCGCGGCAAGGATTGCGGGCCTCCCAGCCGGGTGTGGGGTCTGACAGGGAGGTCTTGCTGATCCCCCCTGACTCCGAGGAGCAGGAGAGGAGCTGGAGGCGGCTTTTCCAGCGCCTGATCTCGCGGCTTTTCCGCCTGCCGAGGAAGGGAGGGGGGGAGCGGGGAATGAAGACAGATGCAGATAATATCGCTGCCACCCCCCGGCCCCCGGGGGCTCAGCTACAATATCCATTATGGATGCATCCGGCGAGGGAACGGCTCCCGGAGAGCGGCCGGAGCTCCGCGATGATGAGCAGAGCCCCAGCGTGGAGCAGGAGGACGCTCCCCCCTGGCTGTGACTGGGGCCCTGGGGGACGCGTGTGGGGCCAGACCGGGCGCCGGGGGCGGCGGGTCGGGMTGTGCCAAGTGGAGCATCCCGCATCGCTGTGGGTGTCAGCGTGGCCGTGGCACGGGATGCTCCGTGCCCGCCTGCCAGCCTCGGGTGCCCCACCAACCCCTCGTCCCCTCCCGGTGTCCCCGGGCCTGGCTGCAGGAGGGAGAGGGTCACCTTGGGGGGAGTTAATGAGGTTTGAAGGGAAGCGGTCGCGCCGGCGGGGACGGAGCCGGCGCGGCGGCGAAGGGACAGAGCGACACAGCAGCCCCGCTCCCGGCCCTCCGAGGCGGGCACAGCCCCGGGATGCGCTCCAGGGGTCTCTGGGTATAGAGGGACGGAGGAGTGACTGGCTCTTCCCCTGCGGATGGGGCTGTGGGACACCGGTGGCTGTGGGGGGCAATGGGTCCTGTCCCTGTTGCCCCATGGATGACCATCCCTGCTGCCCCATGGATGTGCGTGCCCGGAGGATGCAGCCCGGGGATCAGGCTCTGCTGGAGGATTTCCACGGCTCCCACCTCCCCTGGGAGCTCTCCCACTCCAGTCCTCCCTCTGGGGCCTTCCTCGGCCTTTCGTTCCCCCCCTCTGCTTCCTCCCTCATGGCTGCATTTCTCCATCTTTCCATGTGTTCCCCTTCAAAGCCTCCTCTTCCTCTCCCAGCACCACCAGCCCCCTTGTTTGGGGGCTGTGGCTGACCCTGAGCACGTCTCATCCCTGAAATCCCTGCGGGAATCMTGTCCCCATGGTGGCCTTGCTGTCACCATACATGGATCCCGGGCGAGTGGCTGGGGGTCACTGCCCGGGGGGAATSGGGGAGCTGGGCTAGGCTGCACGGAGCCTTCCCACCCCTGTTCCCTGAGAGCCGCTGGCTCTCTGCCTTCCCTCAGTCCTGCTGTCACCCAAAGGGCTCAGGAATGATGGAGAGCCCTGGGGCGAGAGGCTAAGTGGCGACGGCGCGAGAGCTGGCAGTGCCACTCGGGAGGAGAGCCCAGCCCGCTCCTCTGTGCCTGCCGCCGGAGCCAGGAGAGAATTCTGCGCCAAGGGAAGGGAGGCTGGGGTGACTCCGGGATGGAGAGCCATGCCCAAGGGCTCATTTTGGAGCAGGGATGAACAAGGATCGCCAGCCTGGCCGGGGGATGAACAGCATCCCTCGGGAGCAGGAGCTGGAATGGGGATGGTGATGGATGCAAACCACGGGAGCAGAGGGGGCTCCAGGGTTCTGGGTGCTCCTCGGGAAGAGAGACGCAGCGAGGACCACGAGGCAGAGAAACTACACGGCTCTCCGGAAATCCTCAGCCAAAAATAGCCCGGCACCAGGGAAGGAGCGCCTTCCCTTGCCAAATTCTCCCTCCATGCCTAGCTCCTGCCTGCCGTGGCCAGGTGGCACCGGGGCTGGAGGGACACAGGAGGGACACATCCATGCATGGCAGCGGATGGGGATAGGGAATGTCTGGGAGCATSCAGCCAGGGCTGTGAGGTGTTTTGGGACGGTGTCCACCTCCCCCAGCCCTCGGTGGTGGGGTCGGTGTTGGTGGGCTCTGCCACCCGRAGCCCCCTAGAACCGGCAGCTCAGCGTGGGGGAGGCAGAGCCGGCCGGATTGACAGCTCCGGGGGATGGACAGATGGCTGGATGGAGAGGCAGATGTGTACGAGGGATGGATGGACGGATGGATGGATGGATGGAGAGATTGATGGACGTGCTGAAGAGGGGGACGCACGGATAGACAGACAGATGGAGAGCAGACGCCTGTTCTCGCCTGAAGCACACCCGGGATGCTGAGCTGTGGCACCGCTCCTCTCCCCCGAGGCTCATCCCAGGATCCTGCCGGGAAGCAGGATGGCCGTGGGGCTTCCAACGATCCCTCACATCTACAGAGCCCCYGGGAGCACGTGGGCAGGTGGCACCGCCAGACCCAGCTGGCCYGGCCCTCCAGCTCTTCCATGTGACATGCCAAGCCTGGCTCACAGCATTCCCAAAATGCCCACTGGATTGTTACCAGAGATGGCAGCAAAGCCTCGTCCCCCTCCGTGCCCATCCCTTCTCCTTGCCCCTGTGCCAAGGGCTCGGATTCCACATTCCTGCTGTGCCTGCCAGGGTCCTGCCCCACTCTGCCCCCACCCCACAGCCAGGATCCTGCACAGGAGTGAAAGCAGCAAATTCACAGCTTTTCAGCTTCTTCTTAAAAATAAGAGGTTTGGGAAATATCGAGCAAATGAATGGGAGGATGAGAAGAGGAGGAATTAACGGCCTGGCTCCAGGCAGGYAGCATCTGGGAAGCCCCGGCGTGACAACGTGGCCACCTTGCTTGGCGCTGCGTGGCCCTCCACCCTGGCAGCATGAGGGGCTCGTCTGAGCCACATTCCTGCTCTATCTCTTCCCACATCCMCAACACCACCATCCCCATCCAGGGATGGGCATCACAACCATGCATTTCCACTGCCGGTTCGGTGGCTTGGCACATGGAGCCGTGTCTCCATGCGGAGCTGTGGATGTCGGCTTTGATCACCGCTTCCAGGGAGCTCAGTGGGAGCTTGGCCTGGGGGGCTCCCCACAGCTTTGATTTCCCCCTCAGGGTACTCGGCATCCACGGATCTYGCCGCTGGAACAGGATGAGCGGGAGGATGCTCCAGGAGATGGGGCTGCGATACTGAGCAGCTGCCAGGGAGACGCTGTGTCCACAAAAGCTGGGAATTTTAGAGTCTGCACCCAAAATTATGGCTCTGGGAGACTGGACAGGGTGATCTTCACTAAGGCACGTGTGGAGAGATTGGTTCCAGCTGTGGTGCCACAGGCATGAGGCTCGTTCCAAAGCTTTTGCTCATCCAAAGGCTCTGTTACTCCATGGAGATTTCCAGCCTCTCCAACCCGTGCAGGAGCTGCTGCTTGGGAGAGGAGCTGGAACCATCCCTGGGTGCTCCTTGCGGGGGCTTTGCCCTCCCAGCATTGCTCCGGGACTATGGGCTGTGGGTGGAGGCGATGGCGGATCCATCAGATGGGTCTGAATCCTGGGATAGGCACAGGAAAACGGAATGAGAGGGGGGAAATGGGTGGAGCTGCCCTTGAGCCTGAGGGTCTCACTGTGTTGGGCTYGAGTGATGCCTCAGTGTGTACACGGCCACCAGCATCACAAAGCCACCGAGGTGTCCAAGGCCACCAAGATGCACAGGGACACCGGGATGGGCCACAGGTCCCACATCCACCATTCCTGAACCCGCCAGAGCTGAGCCGTGTGTTGGACCCCTCGGCATCGCCAGCAATTCCCTCCTTCGGGAGGATCTAGCTGGATCTCTGGCAACAATCCCTCTTGGATCTCTGCACCTCTCCTCGCGCTGGGGTCGAGTTTGAAGTGTTTCCTCACATCCAAAAGRAATGTGGCCAAGGGCTCGCTCGTGCTCCGGAGGCAGCTAATCCCGAGCCTGCAGGARCGGCGGATAAAGGAGGATGGGCACTGACAGCATCCCTGTCTCCCAGACATTCCCCATCTCCCACCCCAAGGCGGGGACTGCGAGGGGCRCAGTGGCTTTTCCGCCTTCTCTGCCGTGGATACCCTTCCCCTAAATCCAGAACTCTCCCCTGCCATGGGGACCTTCTCCCTGTATCCAGAGTCCTCTCCCCGCGGCACAGGGACCCTTTTCCCTGGCTCCTGCTCACGCAGCTCCTCACAAATCCCACGCAGGAGAGCTGCGGCGCTAAGGAGGCAGGTAATCCCCTCATCAATAACGGCCTGGAAAAGTAGAATTATATCCCGTCAAGTGGCACTGAATCCTGATGAGAGAGCCGCAGGGATGTTCCACCCCCCTTCCCAGCCTCCGCAGCATCCYTTGCTCTGCCAGCACGTGGGACGGGATTGGGACCTCGATCCCTCTGAGGAGGGATGTGGGGTCTCTGCTTCACGGCCCCCCCTCAGTGTGGCTTTGGGATGAGGCAGGACCAGCGAAGGGCCTGATTTGGGTGGGATTTGGGCCGTGGCCGCTGCGACCCCAGGCCCGCRGACCCTCGAGTCACGCCGAGCCATCTCCACGCTCCGGGCTGGATCCGCGCTGGCAGCCGCGGAGATTTATGGAGAGCGGCGGGGAAGGAGGGCCAGCGGCKGCGTAAACAAGCGTCGTGTTTGCACCTTGTCACCCGCTCCCGGGGCTGTGTCTCGGTGCCACGCAGCTCCCCGTGCCCCCCCTGGACCCGCCCGCCCCAGGGCAGCCCACGCCGCGCACCCCAACCGGCACAGGGACCCCACGCCGCACCCCAGGGCTGAGGACGCGCCAGGAGCTCCGAGCGGCTACGAGTCTTTAATTAACCGAGTGCTAATTGCCTGGAAAACGAGTCATTTAAGTCATGCTGAGGGCGGCGCAGCCTGGAGGCCTGAAAAGCTCTCCCCACCCTAGGGTCACGGCGTGATCCCCCCGGGAAGGGCCGAGCGCCACCCCCACCTCCCCCAGKGCACAGGGACACCCCTGGAGCCCCCCGGGAAGGATCCCGCTGGCGCATCCATCAGGATTAAGGGATCACGACAGGTTTGGGGGTGCGGTGGCACTCGGCACGGGGAATTCAGGCCCCAGGAGCCACGCTCGCTGATGTCCCTCTGCGGACACCAAACACGGCCGTGGTGGTTTCCACAGTGCCCACCCCTTCCCTCACCTTTGCTATGATTCCCCCTCTCTCCAGATTAATTTCAGGATGAACTTCACCCCACAAGGAGCRAAGGATCCGTTGGCTAAACCAGAGGGGTCACGGTGCTCCCAAGCTGGAGCGGGGAGCACTAAGCAGGGGGGGCAAGGAGGGCTCATCCCAATTCCCAGCTCGCCCAGTAAGCCCGGGTGCCGCTCGAACTGGTCGGGTCCCACCCAAGGAGGGGAGCCTGACGCTCTCTGGCCGTGCCGGCTGCTTCCCACTCCSCCGGCAGCGTATCCAGCCGGGGTTTATAAATGTTGGAAATTAAGGGTTGGTCCCGAATTCCCTCCTAGGCAACAGTTGCTACGTGAGTTTTATACACAGGCTCCTCGTGATCCGGGAGCGATGGAGGAGCTGCCTTTGGATGGAGGGAGCGCGGGTGCTGAAGGGGGGACCTGTGCCCAAAACAGCCCCCCTCCCCCCATCTTCTCCTTAAGGAATGTTTATAAAACTCCCGTTTGTGATCACCAACCCCTCTCCTCCTCTCCGGATTCCAGCGGGGATGTGGGAGCTGCGGGTGCCTCGGCACGTGTYGGGGGCCATTCCAGAGCCCCGATTCCTCCTCCCTGTCCACTCTGACTCACCCCGGCCTCGGAGACGCCGGCAAATTTCGTTACAATAACAAGGTCTGCGGGGGAATTAATTATTAACATTTATTGTTTAATATTTATACTGCAGCACCGCTCCAGGCGCTGCTCCAGCCTCGCTGCTTCCCACTGCCAGCTGGGGCTCCTGCCATGGACAATCCCATCCCAGCAGGCATGGTGGGATGTGGAGCATCCACAGGGATGATGTGGTGAGGGTCCAGCCTGGAGACAAAGGCTGAGCTGGTTTGGGATCTCACTGGGCCACTCTGAGCCACCTTGGGCCCCAATTCTCCTCCCACAGTGGCCATTCCACATGCCAGCAGCATGGACACGAGCAGATGTGCTGGATGCAGTTCAGGGGTCYTTCCCACACTTTTGGGGTCCCCGAGGTTGTCCCCACAGTGGGGTTGGAGAGGAGCAGGCCCGCCCTGCCATTTGGGATGAATCCATGTGGGATTGGCTCACAAAGCAGCAGCCGTGGCCTTTGCTGGCCGTGCCAGCGCTCCCAGGGTGCCAGCGGSGATTAAAGCTCCAGCCTGAGCTCCAGGAAGCCCTCGGGGCCGGGYTGCCCCCAGGACACACCCTACCTGGAACCCAGAAGCCACCGAGGTGGCCACCGTGCTGGGGCACTGCACCATGGGGTTGGAGCCTGTTGGACCACATTCCTTAAGTTTTCCCTCTCTGTGCCCCCACGCGCACCGGGAACACCCCGGGACTCAGGCCTGACCCCCTCCCCGTGCTCTGCTCCCCTCAGGGACCCCCTCCCGCGACGTCCTCCTGGTCTCAGCCATCATCACCGTCAGCCTTAGCGTCACCATCGTCCTCTGCGGGATCTGCCAGTGGTGCCAGCGGAAAATGGTGAGTATCCMGCTTCCCTCCTGCCTTTCCGGGATCCCGGCGTGCCCCCCGTGCCACCGGGCAGGGGGCGATTCCCTCAGCCAGGGCAGCAGCCAGGCGGAGGCAGCTCGCCGGAGCTGCCGGCTGCAGCTTTTATTTGGGCTTTTCCAGATGTGCTAATGAAATGTTTAGGCGAAACTCTGTGTGTGGCACAAAGGGATGTTTCCAAATATATGGATATATATTGGAAAGAGCTGGCCCCTGTCCTGCTGGGCACGCTCCTGCCTGGAAAAGCCCCACGGGAAGGCGGCCAGCCCATCCTTGGCAGCGCCGGGCGTCGTGAGCCATCCCTGCCGCCCGCTGTGCATCCCTGCTTCCCTCCCCAATCCCCACCGGGGCTCGGGACAGCGCTCCCTGCAGCCCCGCATCCTTCCTCCTCCTCCCGCTCCTCCTCTCCCGGGAGCAGGACGTGCTCAGCCACGTTTCCTTCGCCATCGGAATCGAATCTGGGTCAAGTGCTGCGATGGCAGCGGCGCTCCCCGCCAGGGAGATGCCCACCCTGAGCCGTGGGAAGGCAGCATTCCCTTGGGAATGGAAGAGGGGGTCCGCACGGCAATGAGGGAGAGCGGTGGGTGGGAAGGGCCCTTCCAGCTGCCACCCAGGGCACGGAGAGAGAGCTGGCGGAGGAAAACGAGGAGGCTGGAGCTGGCAGAGGAACAAACAAGTGTAAATTGGCTGGGAAGGCACATCCCAACAGGACCTTGACAGCGCCCGGAGCTGAAGCGGCTCTGTGGGAATGACGGCTGAGCCCGGCRGGTCGGCTCCAGGCTGTGCCCATGTGGCCACCGCTGCTGTGTCCTCACGAGCCCTGAGCCACCGTGGCTGGGGACATGGATGGGAGTGAGGTTTGGGGATGATTCCTCCCGGGATGGCTTGTGGGTATCCGGGGAGGTCAAGCATCCCTGGTGGGATTAGCATCCAA